TCCATGTTGCATTTGAGACACCGAATGGCAAACCTCAGCCATGTCTTACTTTTATCAGATCAGAGCATCTTGCAGTCCTCCACTGAAAGTAATCCTTAGTGTTTTCCATAACATCTGTAGCATGTATGAGTACTGCATGTATTCCAGCTACTTTCGCTTCCTTTAGGGGAGGGTAATAACCAACAATTTTTCTGTAGCACTCAAACTTTTTCATTTCCCTTTTGATGAGTTCAGTTCATAAGGTAATGATTGTAGATAACAAATTTAAAGACAAAATTAGAAAGTTTTACCCCATCAGAGCAGTAAGTGCAGGAAAAGTTGCAGACAATGAAAAGAATAAAAATAGACTATGTTCTAGAAAGCACTTGAGCAGATATGAATGTAACTTTATTGTTTGCATAACTGGATTTGCAGAAATAACTTGAATTGTAACCAGAGTCCGTTTTGGTACTGCTCTTGAGAACTTAAAATATTTTCTGCATTCTTTACAGGGTGGATGTGATTGCTCTGGTGTAAGTTCTGTAAGTGTTATTTATTTATTCTGTGTTTTTTTATTTTTTTTTATTGTTATGTTTTTATACGTACATGTATGTGTAAGAGAATGTTCACATGATTTGGAAAATTATCTGTAGGCCTATTTATTTCTAAGTTATTTAATTATCTATTTGAATGTACTGTTCAAATTTATATTCATTATTCCTTTGGTAATAATATGCATCACTGACATGATAGAGTCTGTTTCTTATGCCGAGATTTCACATGTCTGCAGCTGACAGCATGATGTATTCTCTGAAAAATGGCTGTTTATTGCTATGAAAGTATTTATAGAAACATGTATATATAGTTCTCCAAAATAAATAACTAAATATTTTAAAGAAAGGTGGTAATGATTTTCCTCTAGAGTATTTGAAATCTGTTAAATACAGTAATATATGGTTTTCAAAGCAAGTAGTATGTGGTCAATCATCCTGCTGACATGTTTGACATGTGGTCAATCATCCTGCTGTATATAAAGGACATTTGCACACTTTGGGTAGAATTCTTGTTTTCTAGGTAGTCAGTCATGGGTAGATACGAAGCAATTCTTTGTGATTTAAAGTCTTACAGGCCGCAGAAAGACTATTGGTTATCTTGGAAAGTTACTGAAAGTGAAATTTAAGTGTAACTCAAGTTCAGATTGTCGTGTTCTTTCTTTAAAGAAACACAGAAGAGACATTCTAAGATTTTGTTTCATTTTGTGTTTGATCAAAGACAAGGGCTAACTTTTTCTGTTGTTGCTTTTGTTGTTGTTTTATTTTTCTCCTCCCCTACAGAGTGGATCATCTTCCTCACTCAGAAGTAATTCCTCTTCTAATGTAAGCAATATTTATCAGCCTTTTAAGGGTACCCTGCGTTTGTTTTGTCAGTATAATAGTTAGAGAGATTAAAAAGAGTTAGCATTGAATAGTCATACACTTCTAAAAAATAACCCACTTTAGTTACTATAAAAAAATATACACAGGACATTTTTGCATCTCAGCTTGTCTTTCAATCTGAAATAATATTCATTCAAGTAGAAGTCTTTGAATGAAAAATGTTTGGCAGAAACACAGGTGCATGTCAATATAATTATGTATTTAGGGAATCAGTACTACTGCCTTCTTTGAAATCATGTCAAATCATGTCTTACGGACACAGATTTTTGCTTGTATTCCTTTTCCGTCATTCATTGCAAGAAAAAGATTAGCATTTCATAAGTCAGCAATTTCTTAATGTTAACCTCCTCGTACAAATGAGAACTCTTTTACAGGAGAGACCTGTTTAAGAATCTTCAGAATCTGTTCTGTTCCTCATGCTTTAGAAAGTCACACCAGTATATTACTGGCTCCATATGCATGGCACTTAAAGGAGAAAAAGTACTTGGATCTTTCTGTACCTAGCACTGAAATCTGTGTCATTGTTTTCAGACTGCTAGTTGATATAAAGCCAGATTAGACTCAGCTACATGAGTGCACCGTACAGAATTAATACTGTGTGATAAATAAAACTAGCCTTATGCTTTCTTGCAAGAAGGAAGAATGTGTATATATCTACAGTCAGAAAATAATTCTTACCCTTCATATTATTGATGGTGAGATGTGTTTTCTATGGAACTACCTGTTGGGTCTGAGGCATTTTTATACTGACTTGGCCATCTTCACATGTCAGTCCTGAATCAGGGATTGTGTGTAAGGAACGAGGGAACATAGTGGCTACATATCAACAAGTACTGCAGATTTATGGAAAGGGGTCTACAGAGTGGAATAGTGATTGCTCAGAAACTGATGTTCACATGACTCAGGAAGTTAGATCTGATCCAATGAATCCAAATGTCAGTTTACTATGGGAAGGCAACCCTAGAGAACGTGCTGAAATTTAATGTTATCTGAACAGCATCCAATTTATTGCCTCTGAGTACTCTTCCTGATGCAATCAAAATTGCAGCAACTAGAAACTATCAGGAATATTGTGTCAAAGTTACGCTCCTGATCCAGACTACAATGTATAGATGTTCCCAGTATCTCAGCAGGGAAAAGTGGCTTATGTGTACTTAATATAGAGCTTAGATCTCCCCGGAATGTATGTTGCAGTCTATCTCAGAATGTTGTCTCTTAGTATCTTCTTTACAGTGCAGTTGGAAAGCCATTTTGCAGACTAAGGATTCCTTATTAAGTATACATTATTGATAAGTGCTTAGCATGATGTACTAGCCACAAAACTGTCTCATTCCTTAGTGAGCTTAATAGATCTTGTGGAAAAGCAGCAGTACTCAAAATACAACTCTGCAAGAATGGATATTAAAAGATTTTTGCGAGTATGTTGTTCTTTAGCATGTTCACTAATTTTAAACTGAAAGGCATAAGCTACCTATCTTCCAGTCAGATTCTTTGAAGGAAAATAACTGATTTTTTTCAAAGGGACTGTGAAGGCAGCCATTCTGGTGGATAGGGGCACATAAAATTCTAGATGTATTAGAAAGATGTATGTACTACTGTCCTTCAAGAAGCCTTCCTTCAAAAAAACTTCTGTTATGGAAAAATAACTGATTTATTTTTCTCAGGACACATCTTATTCTGGAGGAAGCCGTTACAGTAGCTATGTAAGTAATCGTTTTGAAAGAAGAGCCAGCTTGCCATTTTGAAGAAGTTTTGGTTTTGATGTGGGAACTTTGTTTGAAGAACAAAAACTCAGTTAATGAAATTTGTCATTGAGTTTGATATGCCAAATAGTTGCCTTTATTTTTGTGGAACTTGCCTACTGTAGCTAATACAAAAAAAAAAAAAAAACAACAACAAAAAAAAAAAACAGATGTGGTAAATAATGAATGGAAATACAGCATTTTAGATCTCAAGTCAACTTTCTTTCATTAAGAAAAAGAAAAGATAAATCCATTCTTCCCTCTTCAAGGAGATTTCTTGCTGTCTGACGTGTCAATAAAATTACTTGATTTGATTTTCAGAGATCCCTTAATTAGCCAACCCTTTCTTGCTAACTTTGGCCTTGACATCCAGGTTTCCAAATAAATAAATGCCACTCTCCCAGAAGTGAGCAAAGACAGACCTTGAAGGAATGCTCCTTTATCCTACAGCCTCCAAATTTAACTGTCCCAACAAGTCACACAAACAAAGCAGTAGTTTTCATTGCCTTCTGCTTAGACAAAATTGAAATATTTACCATGAAATATCTGGATTCTAATATTTTACAGGATTCCACCTCGCCATCTTACAACCGTCAGAATGAACGGGTAAGCACTTCTTCATGTTACTGTGTTCTCTGCCCCAATGCTTTTAAGGACTGACAAATACTGGCCACTTCAATTACAGCTCGTGTGGAAGCTGATATGGTAGCTTTCAGTGTAGGGTAGAAAGTCCTCAAGCTAAGGCACAGAGGGAATGAGACTATGGCTGAAGTGTTTGAGTACCGTGAAGAATCCTAACTGATGGCTAAAGTGTACTACTTGAATCTCTGACTCAAAATTACAAGCACAGTGACATGGAAGAGGTGAGGATAATACTGAGCTTGATAATTAGCAGTGACATATGGTGATTTACCAGAAATAAAGAATTTGATTCGTGGAAAAAAAGCATGAAAAACAGAAAACAACCCATGTCAAGGCAAAAAGTCTTTGTTTGTGGAGCCATGCTGTTTGGCTTGGTGGTAAAGAAACTTGATTTAGGCTGAATAATATTTTGTTTTACTCTACACTATCTGCAGGTAGAATTTCATTTGGATATGTGATTTTTTCTCCAGTAGATTATCTTTCATCAGGTTAGCACTTGCCTCAGAGGTATGTAGGGGCATGTGCTAGATTATGCGCAAATAATTTTTTGTTGTTTCTCTTTGAGAGAAACGGGGAATCTGGAGCAGCAAGGTAGAAAGTAACTTTCATCATGATATTTACAAAGACAGTGAAGTCTCCTTATTATAGCTGGGTAGCAATAGATCAAGGGCTGTCAGGATTACAATGACATCGTATTGTATAGTTATCAAGAAAAACAGAAGCTCTTAAAATACAAGAGTAACAAACAGTATGAGTTGGCAATTCAATGTTTCCTGAAGTGATAGCATGAGCCTTGAAATCTAGTAATTAAAGTATGCTGAAAGTCTTGCTAGTTGTCTTCACTCTTATCTTGCTATCTTGCTCCTGTTGAGAATCATGTTTTAATTTAAGAAATCCTACAGCAGATAACTCCATGTCTTTGGCATTTTTTTACAGGAGTCATATTCTTCTGGAGCTAGTCAATATGGTGGACAAGTAAGCTCTTACTTTCAATATTTCTGTATGATGTGTATTTTACCAATATTTTATTCTTATGGAGTAAAACATTATCAAGATAAATATCTCAGTTTAGTGTTGGGAAGGCCTTATAGTGATGTATTCTCTGTAGTGTATTCAAAGAAGACAAAATGCGAAGTTTATTCTGTGAAGATTACAAAAAAAAACCCACAATGAAATAACAAAATACTGATATTTTTGCTTCTGATATCCATCAATCATCTATGCCATGTGAAACAGAAAAAAAAAGATTTTTAATATTTTTCCAGGGATCACCATCTTATGGAAGCAGCCATTATGGTGGACAAGTAAGCATTAATAGTCCCCTTAAATATTTTTTACCTATGCATAACTTCAGTGCATTGATTGTCTACCCACCTGTCTACCTTAACTTAATGTAAGTTAGTCTTAAGTAAACCATTATTTTAGCATTGTGGTTGCTACCATGATTAAACAAAATAAGCTTAGATTAAGATATTTAAGATTAAGAAGGAATAGAGAGTAACTCATGTGGTTGACTCAGTTGGCTCCTGACACTTGCAGAACTACGTCACAAAATTGTGTGTGAATACAGTTCCTTGGGGTACTGTGTCACATCTCTCTGAAATAAGTTAGTACTTCATGAGGCTGATGAAAAATGTTTAAAGCCTCACGATATGGATAAAAAGAAGTTTCAGTTTCTTCTTTGTTGATGTTCAGGGTTCACCTTACTCAGGAGGCAGCCAGTATGGAGGACAGGTGAGAAAAAATACAAAAACTGTGATGGGCCAGTACTTCCATTGTGTCACCTTAAATACACTTTTAGCCTTGTTCTACCTTCTGATTTACTCTCCTCATTCTAGAACCTACTTGTCTTCTGCTACTGTCGTGGTTCCTTAGCTCTCTAATAGTAAGGAGCAGCTGGAAGTGGGTTATATTTCTCCTCTACCTCAACCAATGAAATGCCTCACTTCTCTCAGAGCTGAGATAGAGCTGGCATCAGAGAAGTGATGTGCCTCAGGAAGGGAACAGAGGGGCAGGTTAAGTGTTGTTAAGGGAAGGTGGTCTATGCTCTTATGGGGTGAAAGAGGATTGAGAGGGATCCTAGTGTTGTCTTGTGGTGTAGCCTTTCTTATACAGCAAAATCCTCATCAAACTGGCACTTGGCTTCTGCAAATATTTCTTGTCAGATTTATTGGAAAGGGAATTAGAAGATAAAAATTTTCAGCCAAGTAATTTCCCTCAAAATGCAACTATGTATAGAATAATAGTAGCTCATGGTCACCTGTGCTATCAGTGTTATAGAAGGTTCATACATTACAGACAGACCCTAATTGACATAGGACCCAAAAAATAATATGATTGCTTTTCTATAATTTTTCATTGTACAACAGAGAAAGAAAGTAGCCTTTCTTTCAAAAATTCTCAAAGAGCCCTTTTGATAGAAATAATTGGTTTCTTTGTGTCAGGGTCCATATTCCTCAGGTGGCAGCCAGTATGGAGGACAGGTGAGAACTGTTTTTCCTACATGTGGATTGTTGTTCAGTTGTTCATCTTTCTCTCTTCTTTTCTGTGGAAAAACAAGGTCCTTTGTAAAGGCTTGGCTTAAAGCAAGGCACTGTTCAGGCAGAATGGGTGAATGTGACACCTTCTGTGACAACCCATGCAGGAAAATGAAACACACAAATCTGCCCTGAGCAGTGAGTCACTTGCAGATGGGCCATGCACAGTTGCCTGAAGCTGCCTTTAATTTAAACTTTCTTGTCCTATTTTAAACTGCGTAGCAATTTTAAACAATAAGTCAATATTTTAAAATAGCTTTAAAGAAAGAATTCTTATTCCAGTGGTGTTTAAATCCACAGAGAACAAATAAAATTGCATTTTTCAATAACAGGCTATACATTTAAGAACATGCAATAAATACTAATGCTTTCCTGTTTCTTTATGGTTTGGCTCCAACAGGAACTGTCTATTGCAATAGACAGTGTAGCAGACAAGTAAAACTTATACCTTCATAGTATTTGCAATTTGGTAAACAGTTCAGTAAGAAAACTGACTGTTCTGTACTTTTTTTTGAGCGGGGAAGTAAAACAACATTCTGAGACAAAGTAGCTTTAAGCCAAATTAATTAAGGATTGTGAAGAATAGATCTGTGTGAAATGTGATGATATGAGAGAATGCTTTAGGGGTCTGCTTTGCTGTATTGGAAATGCTTCCTTAAGCTGATTTGTTCAAATGATAATTTTTTATTGCAATTTTTAAACAGAAGTGATTTAAAAGATGAAGGACCAGTTACGATAAGTGAGAATGTTATTCAGTAACACAGAAATAATTTGTTTCTTTTTTTATTTTAATTCCAGGGCTCACCTTCAAGAGGCAGCCAATCTGGTGGACAGGTATGCTTTATGTT